TGTTTGTGTGTGTGTCGATGTGTGTGTGTGCAAGTCGCTGTGTGTGCGTGATTCGATGTGTGTGTGTTAGTCAATGTGTGTGTGTAGACAACTAATATTTAACAATTAAGTTCGTCATTTTTACAATAATGTGTCTAAGTCCATGTGTGTGTTAGTCGATGTGTGTGCGTGGATCCATGTGTGTGTGTAAGTGCATGTGTCTATGTGTGTGGATCTGTGTGTGTGGGTCGATGGCTGTGTGTGTGCAAGTCAATGTGTGTGTGTCTTTTTCGCCCGGGCAACGCCGGGTACTTCCCGCTAGTATTCAATAAATATCTTTCCTCCATTGAGTACACAGTGCAATATACATTGTTGTTGTTTTTTAAAACTGCCCGAAGATAGTTTTTTACATAAATTGTAATTTTTTTAAAGTTAACTTGCGTAGATTTGATTTTGAGAAGGTATTAAATCTTGTACGAGTAGTGAGCTTACACTATAATTGTATTGTCAGCTCTTTTAGTCATCTTGGCCTCTTAAAATTGGTTTGGACTTTTTCTTGTAACTGGAGAAGCTTGGGGGAAATGTCGTAAGGTCTGCAATGGTCACTGAGATAATACCAACGTTCCATCGTCACATGGAAGAGGACATACACTTCCATTCGGAAGGTTTTGTGTGATTGCGAAAAAATCTCAATGCACGATTATTTGTAGTACAGTATTCATAATGTGAAATGTATGTGTCACTTTATGACCAGACATGTTAAGGGCATGCCTGTCATATGGTGTTTAGATTTCAAGCGTGCCAATGTCTAGCTCGGCAGTAGTGGCAGCGGCGATGCACGTGGCCTGTAAATCCAGCACTGCGAAGGCAGCAGCGAGGATTGGTCGATCACCACAATAATGTGAAACTCTCTTCCCGCGAGCGTCGATGTGCTGCTTATACCCTGTTTCACCAGGAGAATGCAGTACAGCAAAAATGTGGACTCCACCTATTCTATCTGCACGGGATAGCATTTCTCCCTCACGTGTGTGGGTTTTCTCCTGGTGCTTCAGGTTCCTCATGTATGGTAAACACTTGATAATTGGCAGATAACACCTTAATATACAAAGAGGCGCAGAGCTTGGGCTAATTGTTGGTGCCAGCTTGCCATATGGCTGCCTCCCCTGTTTTTCTGTGGTTCTTCAGACCCCATTGAGTTGTCTCTCTATTCAAGCATCGGTGAATGCTGCATGGTCCAAGTTGAAATGATGAATATCGATGGTATTGTGGCATGAATTGGGATCCCCAGAACGTTTATTTTGCGGTGTGTTTTTCACGGCCCACTTGTTTGGTAGGGCTTTATTGGGTCACGGTGTCTTACCATGCCAGTCAAATTCGGTTATCTGTCGGATGTGTGGAGAATGAGCGTGTCAGGCATAGAGATAGTAGGCGGTCCACGACTCGTGGTTGGTTATTTCAATTGCAGTTTTAGGGTTTTTCCTCGTCCTTTTGGGCAGACTCTTCCAGTTCTGATCTACGTTTTGCACGGGCTTAATGTCATGACAGAGCTAAGTCCAGTGAGCTGATTCCTTAATTTGGTCTTTCGCGAAGTATTTGTGCCATATCGGTGCATGTATCCAGGTTATTCGCCAACATTTTCCAAGAGAGTTTTCGTTCATAAGCGTAGTTTTTAGCAGCTGGCAGAGCTTTTATAGAGTTTAGGCTCGAGTCCTGGGGTTATTGATATTTGTTTTGCGAATGGGTCTGTCGCTTGAATGCGGTTCTATTCTCAGCGTCCTATTGCCTCTGTGGATATTGGGCGCAGCGGTGAGCGCGAAGAGCTAAAGTGAGAGCGAAATTGTGTTTGTCAGCATTCCTCCGACTGTCCACCACGCTGGGGTGCTGTGTTATAGATCTAGCAGCTTGACATTTGGGCAACTGTCTCCGGCTGGTGGAGTCGATGAGACCGATTGCTGAGGGTTCGAGCACCGGGCCTCGTAGATGGATGCCGTAAAAACGACCTGTCAATGTCGCTCAGGCAGGGGAGTCTTGAATTAAATAGCGATGGTCGTCACCAGCATCTGCCACTTTGCTTGTGGTTTGTCACTTGTTCTCAGTCTCAGCTGCTGTGCTTCGATAATTTAATAACATCAAGATCAAAGTACCCTCATTTCAGTGCGAAGTTATCCTCTGCAATTGACTTTGTGTTGATTTTCCACCAGCTGAAATGAGATGTTCAACTTCAGCTTCTAGCATTGAAACATCATACCTTAGATATACTTAAATTGACATCTCGGTGTCACGTGACATTGTGTCTTCTGTAGATATCACGTCATTTTGTCACACTGCATTTCACGTTAGAGAGTGGATTGTTTTTTATTTGGAAATTGTATTTAATTTATTTAATTGTTTTATTTTATTTTCTATCTACGTGACTTTACCAAAAGAACCAAGAATATGAATTCCTGCAGTCACGAAAGTTTTAAGTTAAAATTTTGTATTCTATCACCAACTCGAACTTGGTGATAGAAGAATACAATTTTAAACGGGTGCATATTATGTTAGTATGAATATCAAACGAATAACAACGTGCTTAATTAAGTACTAAGTTTACTTTGAAATTATAGTATCTGCAAAACTACTTATTTTAATCTCAAATTTCTCAGGCTGTGTAAAGAAACGTCCAGGATGGTGAACATGGTACCTTGATTCTGGCAAGGTCAATTAATTTCCTACAATTATGCCAATTGCAAATGTAGCTCTTGCCAAGATTATGCATTTCATTGCTATAATTATTTTTTTCATCAGTGCTGATTGTAAAATGTGCATGAAGAATAAGTTGACATTTTGTAAATTCCACGTCTTTGCAGTATGTTTCGTTTCTGGGATGTAAATTCAATGCGGTGGCAGTGAGTTTAATTGAACGCTGATTGTCTTAGTGATATTTTGAGGCCACATCAGGGCTCTGAGACACGTGGAAGTGTTCCTTGCGATGTATGTTAGAATTAGATTTATGTGATTGATTTAAATTCGCAAAGAAAATGCAGAATTGTTTGACCTGTAAATAATCCACATGGCAACAATTAGCTGGTGGAAAATTGGAGTTCAACTGTACAGTGGCACAATGTTTTGGAATAAAGCTATCACTCATCAAAAGTATTATGTGCTTTTATGAAAAATGGTCGATGCTGTATTTGGTCAGTGTATGGGCATGCAGACCTGTGTGCATGTTAAAGCTTGGGTATCGCGATATACATCCCTTGGTTTATGACTGCACAGATAAACACATAAGAGTGTCACTGTGTTGACCTTGGTGGCTGCCTTTCCCAGAGCGAATCACAGATCTTCCTCAGAGAGGGCACGGGCCACTGGAATGTTTTGCTGCAGTCACTGCCCATATTTTTCTACCCGGTTATTTTTTATTAAAATATTTTACCTGGGAAATCCCTTGCAATGGAAGATCTCGTTTACAAGGGCGTCCAGGGTGTTGAGCGTACATTGTAGCTGACAGGCAGCAAATCACTTGTGGTTTGAGATACATTGACAATACAATGACTTAGGTGTGCATTTTTTTTATGAAAGATAAACATTTGGTGAAACCTTTTGAGCCACCCCTTCTATCTCTAAAAACGCAACACATGTCACACTGTGTGGCCTTACATGGAAAAATCTCTTAATAGGGGATGATTTGGGCAATGGCCCTTCAGAGCTCAAGAAAAAAATATTTATCTGAAGTAGTTTAATCGTTTATAAATCATATTAGAGATGATGGAACTTTATAAATATTTGAAAATATTTGTTGATATTGAACTGCAGTTGGATTAGGCAAATCTAAGTGATTGCGTGTCCCTCCTGCCAGCGTGACGGTGGGGGAGCGGTCGTGTAGTAGCGGTGAGGACACTGCACTACGAACTGGGTGACCCGAGTTCGATTCCCACTTATAGCCAACACCAGTGACGGATCATCTGAACTGCTCCTGGGCCTCCACGAGGTTCACTCAGCTTCAAATGAGTACCTGGTGCAGTGTGTAAACATCGACACTCGAGAAACAAACGTGCCCGGGCGTGGTGTTGGCCACCCACCCCCATGCCATCTTTCATAGGTGCTTGCTAACAGCACTTGCCCCAACATTCTGTTAAAGCTACATGGGGGGTCTTTGTGGCGATGGATGTGGTGGCAGATGCCGTCGGTGTTAATCCATGGCTGCCCCTGCGTGAGCTTAAAACCACTGAACCTTGCTGCATATGGATCACACTTTGGCGCTTCTGTTCATTTATGTTCATGAAACGTATATGTTCATATGCCGATCATATATCAATATGCTAGCTTATTAATTGCTGGAAAGACCACGAACAGGACTGACTTAAAAGTAAAACTTTACAAACAAACAAGGAATGATTACCATGCAATTTTTCTGCTGTTTTAACATCAAAACTTTTTAAAATGATGTTACTTTTGGAGTCCCACAATACTCTGTCACATTAATCGGCTGAACTAAAGCGCTGGCTTGTTATGGAGTTCTGCACTGAAACACTTAACGGGTTTGGCACAAAGCTTCGGTTTGGATTTGTTTTCTCTTGTGATCCTCACTGGTGGAAACCCATCATAGAAAGCTCCACGGTCACTTTTTAAGGTAGAATGTCAGCCAGGCATTTGTCATCGTGACGGCGCTTAATAAAGAAGCCCTTGTGAGTCTTAATGAGGCAGAATGTCTTCACCTCTCCCTCCTGCAAGCCACTGAACTCAGCTACCCTTGCCCCTTTACACCTTTGCTTGTGTGTTTATATCGATACGTATGAACTAGAATCACCCCCTCACGAAAGACATTCCTAAAATAAAACATAAAAATGCTGTGCACTAATTCGGTGCTGGTAGAGGGTGAGCACATTTGGTCAGCCTGCTTACACTGTGTACAGTGTGTGTGATGTGTGAATTGTTGTGCTGGCTATGATTAAAAGCGCAGCTACACCATGGCATGTGTGGAAATTTGCCCGAAGCAACGTGTGCAGTCCTGTATAACAGCAACCTTGGTGGCCTTTCAGATCATGACGACCTGCCAGGCGGGGTGGCTGGGGGCACAGCGGAGGAGCTCTGCTTTGGCCGGGCGGACCAAGAGCCGTTACCGTTCCTGCGCAAGGATGATCGCCCTGGGCCGCCGGCAAAACCTGTGCGGCGGAAGAACGCCCGCAAAGGGCTGTCCCGCAAGCTGTCGGCCGTGGATGGGAAGGAAGCGTTCCGCTGCCAGGACTGCGGGAAGGAGTTCTCTCAGCGCTCGCACCTGATGGTCCACGTTCGCAAGCACACGGGCGAACGGCCGTTCGCGTGTGAGGAGTGCGGCAAGCGTTTCTCGCAATCCTTCTGCCTGGCGCGCCACCGTCGCATGCACACCGGCGAGAAGCCCTTCGCCTGCACCGAGTGCGGGATGACCTTCAAGCTGAAGCACCACCTCCGACGGCACCAGAAGACGCATAGCGGCGAGAAGCTGTTCATTTGTGAGGAGTGCGGCATAGGTTTCTCGCATATCGGCACGCTTGCCCAGCATTACCGGAGCCACGGGCGCGGAGCCACGGCAGAGGATGGGGAGAGGGCGGAGCGGGCGTCGCCGCCCACGCTGCAGAAGAGCACCGGCAGCGCTGTGGAGATGCCCGCAGCGACAGCGGCCATGCAAGAGTCGGAGCCGATGAGCGCCGTGTTCGACAGGCGGGACATGGGTCTGGAGTACGGTCGACACGAGCACGCGATGCACGGCTCAATGATGCCCGAGGCATTCGGCATGGCCCAGGGGTTTGGCAGCCACATGAATGAGATACCCAGCTCCTCACTGCAGGGATCCTGCAACCAGAACTAAAAGTAATGTAATGTATTTTCTGGGAGACTACCTTGCCTAGAAAGGTGCTTTTGGGCATTCTCCTATAATGGATGTATTGTCTGCTACTAAATGTTATGTCAGAACTCTACATTTGGTTGGGCATATGATGCAGGACGTGCAAAGTGTGCCATTGTTCAGACAATCATTCCAACAGCTTGCTGGCTAATATCAGAAGTCCATTGCAACAGTGTTTTTTGGCTGGTCGAGTGAAATGTATGTGAATGTGTTTTGCCCAAATTGTTTTCATTCTTAGATTTTAAATGCTTTCCTTGTTAAAATGTGTTCTTAAGTCATATAGTATATCAGCCAATCACACCTGCAAAAATGTGTGTGTATGATTTGTGACTTCCCCCAAATTGTCCTCAAATAATTAATTAATTAGAAAATACCAAAATAAGAGAACCTCACCCGGACAAGGGATACTGAGACACACCCATGGAGCCAGGCCTGGGGGTGGTGTTTGCCGGCAAGCGCCTGGTGGCCGGGTGACCCACGTAACCTGGTCGGGCCCAGCCCGAATTGGCTACGTGTTACCGTCCTGTGAGCCCACCATCCGCAGGACGAAGGGTGATGGGTGGGTGCAATGCCAGTATGGCAGGGAGAGAGATGGTCTCAGACGGACTGGACCTTGGCTTTGGATAATGACCGAAAGAATGAGATTGTGGGTACAAGGGGCCAAAATGAGGTTTCCCCGCAGGATTGCCGGGCTCACTCTCCGTGATCAGGTGAGGCGCTTGGTAATCCGGGAGAGCCTCAGTTGAGCTGCTGCTCTTCCAGATAGAGAGGAGCCAGTTGATGTGGTTCGGACACCTGGTAAGGATGCCCCCCCAGTAGACTCCCCCTAGAACTCTACCGGGCACGTCCCACTGGGCAAAGACCCCGGGGCCGGTCCAGGACACGCTGGCGGGACTAGGTTGCTCAGTCGACCTGGCAACATCTGTAAATTCCCCAGAAAGTGCTAGAGTTTGTCGCCAGGGAAAGGGAGGTCTGGACTGCCCTCAATTTGCTGCTGCTGGGACCAAGACATGCGGACTGAGGAACGAGCGAACAATTTAATTGGGTTTTTTTCTGGACATGTTTTAATCTTGTGGCAAAGTTGTATTTATTCCAGGTGCCCTGCAGATCTTTTGCAGGCTTGATAAATATCACATTAAAGATTAAAGCCGATCGTTATCTCCTGAGCAAATGTGCACAGGCTGAGGGAGCCTGCTATTGGCACACTGGCAAGTCGAGGCTTGTTGTAACGGACTTCTGAAGAAAACTCGCTACAGGTATATCCTGCGATTTGTTATTTTTTTGTACATTTTAAAGTTACATTTTTAGATCTTTTCATTTTAGATTACATTTTTCGACGTCACTTACGTGAAGCAACGTGGAACTTCCACGTGGTGATTGCCACTGTGTACAGCGACTTGGCAATGTGAAAATGTAAGACGTTAAGATTTGAAATTGCCTAATGCGTGGGAGAGATTTTTTAAATAAGCTTTTTCCAGTGTACAAAAGGCCTCGCATGATGGCATTATGCCGCATCCTCTCCGAACAACTCATCAGCATTTCATGGACACAACCACAGGCTGCCGAGAAAGCCCAAACAACGTGGCAGGGTGGCGCAGTGGTGATACCCATGCCTCAAACCAAGAAGAGCCTCGGTTCCATTCCCGACTTGGGCACCACTTTATATGGAGTTTATTTATTCTCCACCTATACTGCGTGGATTTTTCTCTTGAGTTTCCTGCTTTCCTCTGATAGCAAAAAAAAATAATCATGCAATGTAAGCAGTATTGTCCAAACATCCCAGTGCTGAAAGATTACCTGGAAGTTACTCAACTGGGATCACACACAGCAACATTGCCCTCTTCTGCGAAAACATGGCAGGACCTTCCTTAAAAGTATTGAGACTGGCTTTTCCTAGGTAAACAAGAGTAGTAGTAATATGGTTATAATTGCAAGGGAACTGCAGTTTAGCACTTGAAAGTAGTTGCATACATAAATTGGAGCAGAAAATACATTCAGTTGTAACAAAGTCAAATGTGGTGTAATCAGTCATTGGTGGAGCCTATCTGTTTTGGGGGAGGTCTCTCTGATGCTGAGAATAATGAACTAAGGAACTTGCTCCATTCACATATAATTAACACCAAGGAATTTAAACAGAATAATTGAATATTTACAATTGCATAAATAAAATCACTCCAGTTTATTAAGAGAAGCTTTTCACCATGATGAGGTGGAAGGCTGAGGGTAGTCCCCCGACTGGCTTTAAACACCGATTTGGAAAGTGAAAGTTGAAATCTGCGAGAGCCGTCGGGGGCGGTGCGTGGGAGACCGCGGGGACTGGGCCCACCGACTGTCTTGCTCCACTGCGGGCTCCACTACGGGCTCCACAGTGCTTTCCATTTTTAGCATTCATTTTATGAATGAAATGTTAATTTTTTTTTTTAAAATACGAACTAAATTTACTTAGTTTAGGTTTTTATTTTGGCACAGGTAAAAGTCAATGGGCAATAAACACTCATGTTCGATGGGGACCTGGTTACACCGTAGATGCCTGGTTACAGCATGCTGTCCAACGCTGAGTGTGTCCTGCAATGAACGGCACCGTGTGGACTGCTGATTCCTTTCACCAACTGCAAATTGCCAAATCTTGCCATGCAGCAGCAGCAACAACTGGAATAGTGTACGAACAAAGTTTCGGTCGGAGTTTGTCTCTTGTTATTGCAGTTCTCTTTGTTTTCAGGTAGCAATTTCAGTTTTCTACATTGTGGCTTACTGGAGTCCAACTTGGAGAGATTTTACAATGTAATGACTGGGCTCATTTGGCAGTCTGCAGCTTGATATAACATGCAAGCGAGCTCTCGTAAGCCCATGTCTCCAATATTGTGGGGCTGCCCAATGTCTGTCTGTGAGGCCTTTAAGCCGAGGTGTTAAACTATATTGGTCAACAATGCTCATGTAAATTACGAGAAAATATCGCAATGCAAATATTAATGCCGGCTGGAAACATTTAACACAGAGTTGTACAGCCTTGCATGTACACAAGCTCTCAGCCTTTATGCAGACCACCAGCTCAAAATATCTGAGTGTTGCACCTCTTTCGTACCATACGTAGCCAACCGCGCTATTCAGAGGTTCTGGGGAGAGACAACAGACGATACATAAAAAGCAGTCTTAAGCACACGAGTTTTCAATTATAAATGTAAAAGTGCACAGTCCCAATGGACTTGTAATGTCAAATGGACAGTTGCAGAGGCATAGTTTACAGCGTGCGATGCCATGACCATTTTCATTCAGTGAGTTGCCCAAAGTCACTGCGTGAGGATGACCGCAGAGTTCTCGGGATGGTCTGTGATCCCCTTACCAGCTCGGCAAGGTGTTGTGGTTTGTCTCAAGCACTTTGTGTGTCATAAGCACTCCTGCGGGCCTGCGTTGCCGCATCGCTATCAGAAGTGGTGTGGCAGTGGAGGTACTCTTCTGTGACCGTGTGGACGTAGGGGTGGGAGAACCGTCCAGGTCTGCAGCACAGTCGTGTGTGAGGTGTCGTGGCGAGCGACCCAATGCAGTCGGATGGAGGACAATTTCCATCAGTAAATCATAGCGCAGTTGGTGCAACACTAAACTGAACTAATAAATATTTCATCTTCTTTGGTTCTTTCGGTAAAGTCACGTAGAATGAGAATAAAATAATAATCTTTTTCAGAAGGGACCTGGCTATCACAAATGATAGCTCAAGAAATTTGCTTATGTGGAATCGTATAGCAGCCAAATACTCTAAATGCGTGATGTTGATTATAAATGTAGAGGGAATAACTGGAGGACCCAGAGAAAAATCCACGACCACTGGGAGAGGGGCATGCAAACTCCAAATATGCAGGCATCATCGGGGTTGGGATCTAACTCTTGACCGCTTGTTTAACATGGCGAGGTAGTTAACATCGGCCCAGAGAAACGGGCTGTGTGGGGTGGCAATGCGAGAAGGCCCCACCAGATAGTAAGTTTAATATTTACAAAAATGTTAAAACATTTACATGAAAAAAATCACAGCATATTAGTTACGATTGTTTTTAACGTTAATGAACGTAAAGTATGGCTATGAATGTAAATAATTGAATTTCAAAAAATAAAATAGCTGGCAGGAGTGGCAACATTCTGTGTCCCCTACTGGTGCACCACTGCCAATATTCACAAGTGAGGCTGAGCTTGAGTTTGCAATTAGCATTGTCAACTGGTTTGCTCTGTGCCCATTGTTGGTCTAAGTGACAATATGGCCACGGTCAGTTCTCTTGAGTTGGTGGTCTGGAAAAGGCTGAGAGCTTTTGCAATGCTGCACACCTGTGTTTTGTTAAATCCGCACTCTGTATGTTATTACACAGGAAGTTTTGTATTGTGCCCCTTGGATGTTATGGTGACCCATGTTAACCCATCTGATAGTTTGAGCAGACGATGGGTTTCAAAGACGGTAAACTTTTACTAATAATGCTCATTAGGATTACTTCTAACTTGACCCGTGGATTGAATTATATATTTAAACTCTCGGAAAAGTTCATGATCTGTGTTGTGTCATGTGCTTGGGCAGGTTTCAGTCACATTGTTTTATTCCAACAGTACCGTATTTAAAACCAATTTAATACGAAGACTGTTCGAAGGATATTTTGTAATAATCGGTTCTAAATCTGAAGTTCAGACTACTACTCGTCATGATGTTATAATAATTTTTTTAAATATTCCAATACTGTAATTGACATTGGTTATAAAATAAACGTTTTAAAACTAATTCATCTTTGTTAGACATATTTTGGATTTGTGTGAATGTGCTAAGCTCCCTCATTAATAACACAGGCAATCGTCAATTATGTCAGTGGGCCAGTCTGCCATATCGGCATTTCTTGCAACACCAAACACTCTTCACACCGGCTGTTATTCCTTCTGCGGTGTTTATGCAGATTGGAAATTGCAGAGAACGTGGGCTGCTGCAGGACGAATAAGTTCCATACCGCCACTTATACATTTTACATTTCGTCCACTGATGAGCAGAAAAGTGTCATAGGCTTGGCTCTTCATGTCATTGCCCTTGAGGTCGGGCAGAACGACTGACTCCAGTTCGAGATGATACTATACCCCAAGAAAACTGGAAGATTTTAAGAATGTTGACAACTTATTTGAATTGACATTTTATGCTTTTGCATGAGTAGAAATGAGTAATAAATGAACCCTTAAGTCAATATATAGTGTGTGGAGCAACTCCGCAAGCGCCGCGACTCCCCCCTGCCCCCCACCCTGAGCACACGCACGCAACACACACACACACGTAGTGTCCCGGCAGTGGATCATCTGGCACAACGGGGTTTCATCCGAAGGGCCCCTAGGTGGGAAGTCCCGCGGTTTCCCGGTGCCAGGAGATTGGCCGACCCTCCCAGGACAAATCACATTGCGGCGCCCCTAAATTGGCTTAAAATTGTATGGGTGCACAAAGGTTCACCGGGCCAGCCGCATGGAGTCACGCACGACATCGGGGAGAGGGCTGGGGTGAAATATTAAACGAGCAGAGCAGACTATGAGGTAAGGAGATCCCAGCGCCACAAACCAAGCACACATGAGCCAGGTGTGTATTGGCCAGCCGGACGCCCTTCCAGATTAAACAGGCCAAGTTAGGAATTATTGGTTCAGAGACAATGGGTCGAAAAATAATGTAACGTTAACGCTCCATGTAAGGGCAGAGAAACGGTTGAGGGCAGAGCCGCAGCACGAGCGCTCATTGATATAATCACTCGCAGGTTTGGGCATGGTTGGACTGCTGCGCACCGCGTTAGCGTGAGTGGTGGTGTGCACAGAAGAGTAATCACGGAGCCGCAGTGTGTACGCATGTTAGAATATAATCGCCAGCAGGAGCGTGCACGTTCGCACAGCCGCTTAGTGTGAGTTTTAGTGCGGGCGCGGGGTAGGATATAACCACCCGCCCGCACGCGTGTGTTTGCACCGCCCCTGTTTGCACCGCCCCTGTCGTGTTAACTGTGGGGCGTGCATATATTAGGCGCCCCTAAAAACCATTTACGGCCTTCGGCCAGGAAAGTCACAATTTTCATACGAACGACGCATTCACGAAAGCACCCGATCTCTGAATTTTATTATGTTTTGAATTGAATAATTTTATTTCTTCATTAAAGCTTATATCATTTTACATCTTCTTTGGTTCTTTCGGTAAAGTCACGTAGAATGAGAATAAAATAATAAATTAATAAAATAAAATAACACAATAAAATTCTCACGACGTTTCAGGCCACAACACAAGCGGCCTTCAGGTGAAAGGAACAGACCCGTCGGGATGACAGAGCTTCAATGAACGTTGTTAAGATTCGTAGCGTCTTTTTAAGCTGGTTTAGAGAAATGAGGCAACTTGACAAAGGGGTTTACATATAAAACAGGAGAATTTAGCATTGAAATACCTGAGTGATTAGCTTGTGACTGATCACAGAAATAGCCATGTTAAAGCCAAAGCTTACACATCCACAGAGGCACCTAGTACAAATCAAACAGGATAATTTAGCATTGAAATAGCTGAGTGATTAGCTTGTGACTGGTCACAGAAATGGCTATGTTAAAGTCAAAGCCTACACATCCACAGAGGCACCTAGTACAAGAAGGCCGCTTGTGTTGTGGCCGAAACGTCGTGAGAATTTCATTGTGTTATTTTATTTTATTAATTTATTATTTTATTCTCATTCTACGTGACTTTACCAAAAGAACCAAAGAAGATGAATCCTTGCAGTCACGAAAGCTTTAAATCGAAATCATTTTACAAGTGGAAGACTTCATTGAAAACGACATTTCGTGTGAATTTTCTCTCGTCGTTAAGTAGATGTCCTTGCTGGGGGTTCGGTTCGATGCGGACTTTCACCTGTTTGGGATTGCGGCATCGTGATAAGGCGACATAGAGCAGTAGACCGCCGGTGGGGGCCGAGTCGATTCTTGGAATCAACACCGAATCGCCTCGGTTACACTCGGAGATGATCCGCGCCTTGATGAAATTTCTCAACAATCCGTCGCGTGCCATTGCAAAGTCCTCTATTTGGGTCGAGATTCCGCAGAAGAATGATGACGCCCTTCTTCAGCAGCAGGACGTGTGGTGGCATTCCCGATGGCGTCTGGTCGTTGAGAAACTCAACTGGAAAATGTATTGTGTCACTGGGATATTCGCTCACGACTGAATTGGCGCTCTAGTAGATGGCGGGCTCGCCAGGCATCTGTCCGATGATCTTGCGGTTTATTTCGAGTGTCTGTGCATTGGTCGGTGCGACGATGACTCGCTTCGAAAGGTCGTCTATAGACATATCTCCAATGCTGCCGAAGATGGATTCGATGAAATCCCCCGTTGTCACCATCTGCTCCGGGATTTGAATTGTGCCCTCTTCGAAGGTTCCCAGCACTGGGGGCAAGCTGCCTGTTCCAACTTGAAGCAACCATTCGTTGTGCTCATTTTGTCCCTCGCTGCGTATGTTTGTTGTAAGCATGAGCTGCGTGAAGTTCTTCCACAACCGGTTTGCCTTGATACAGCACTCAACAATGTCTGTTCGCGTTCCTCGCGGCACAATGGCAAGAGTCTGTCGGAAGTCGCCGCCTACAACGAAGACTTTGCTGCCGAATGGTTTCTCGTTGCCCATCACCTCGCACAAGAGCTTGTTGATGCAGCGAAGTCCGTTCTTCGGCAGCATAGTAATTTCGTCGATGATGATGAGCGAAGCTTTGCGCGGAACTTTGGCTTGTGGCGATGCAGGCCGCATGGAAGAGACTGAAGTCTCGAGCAAGGGAACTGGAACGTTTAATCTGCTGTGAACAGTACGTCCTCCTTTGAGCATTGTTCCAGCGATGCCTGTCGTTGCAAATGTCAGTACAATTTGTCCTCGAGCCCAGATGTATGCCATGAGAATTGTGTAGAGGAAGGTCTTGCCCAAACCTCCGGGACCGTCGAGATAGAAGCATCGGTTCGTCACATTCTCTCTGCTTCTCGTTGAGCATCGCGAGATGTCGTGCGCCCTCGTTTGCGTCCTCAACTTGGCCATACACATCTTCTTCCAGTGGGTTTCCCTTTGGTGTTGGTAAGCCAATTGATTTGCAAGAGAATCTGTGCTGCTGCAGAACGCTGATGATGTCGTGCAGTGCTTTGTTGATCACGGTGTCGTCGGCATCTCTTCACATGTAGTCGAGAGTTAAGTCCAATTTGTGATCCTCCCACAGCTTGAGAGGTGATGCGGGCTGAGAGAAGCAGCAGATAAAAGCAAACTTCTCGCGCAACTACTTCGGCATCATGTAGGTGCCGGCATCCGTCAAGCAGCTATCCCACTCATCGTCCGAATCCAGAAGACCTCGCGCTGAAGCTGCTGTCTTGAAGCTCTCGCACATCACTCCGTCGACGGTTCGCAGCGATTCAAAGCTGGTCCCATCTCGAACATGCAACAGCAGCATTCGAAGATAGAAACGTTCTTCGTCCTTGACGCTGACCGTGTACATGCGGGACACGATCTTGTCAGCTCCTCTCTGCCACTTCTGCCAGTTGCCTCGAACGTAGACGAAGTGCTGCTGGATGTCCGTGTTGAACCACTGACGTGCGTCTTGATCGCTTCTGTTCAGCAAGAACCACGATTCCAGCTTTGTGCGACCGGTCTGTGCTGCTAGCAGAGCTTCCTCATGTCCAGCTTCAAAAATTATCGTCTGTTGGTTGGGCAGATGGACTGGCAGTCTCATCACGGTGTGCGAGCGATCCTGCATCTTCGACTCGAGGAGCCGCCACCGCCTCTGGAGTGCTCTTGTACAGTGAGGGAAAAAAGTATTTGATCCCCTACTAATTTTGTACGTTTGCCCACTGACAAAGAAATGATCAGTCTATAATTTTAATGGTAGGGTTTTTGAACAGTGAGAGACAGAATAACAACAAAAAAATCCAGAAAAACGCATGTCAAAAATGTTATAATTGATTTGCATTTTAATGAGGGAAATAAGTATTTGACCCCCTCTCAATCAGAAAGATTTCTGGCTCCCAGGTGTCTTTTATACAGGTAACGAGCTGAGATTAGGAGCACACTCTTAAAGGGAGTGCTCCGAATCTCAGCTTGGTACCTGTATAAAAGACACCTGTCCACAGAAGCAATCAATCAATCAGATTCCAAACTCTCCACCATGGCCAAGACCAAAGAGCTCTCCAAGGATGTCAGGGACAAGATTGTAGACCTACACAAGGCTGGAATGGGCTACAAGACCATTGCCAAGCAGCTTGGTGAGAAGGTGACAACAGTTGGTGCGATTATTCGCAAATGGAAGAAACACAAAAGAACTGTCAATCTCCCTCGGCCTGGGGCTCCATGCAACATCTCACCTCGTGGAGTTGCAATGATCATGAGAACGGTGAGGAATCAGCCCAGAACTACACGGGAGGATCTTGTCAATGATCTCAAGGCAGCTGGGACCATAGTCACCAAGAAAACAATTGGTAACACACTACGCCGTGAAGGACTGAAATCCTGCAGCGCCCGCAAGGTCCCCCTGCTCGAGAAAGCACACATACATGCCCGTCTGAAGTTTGCCAATGAACATCTGAATGATTCAGAGGACAACTGGGTGAAAGTGTTGTGATCATATGAGACCAAAATGGAGCTCTTTGGCATCAACTCAACTCGCCGTTTTTGGAGGAGGAATGCTGCCTATGACCTCAAGATAACCATCCCCACCGTCAAACATGGAGGTGGAAACAATGCTTTGGGGGTGTTTTTCCGATAAGGGGAC